GTGAGAGGATCAGAGTCTCACAGACTAGACTACCTTACACCACCGGGGCAATCATCTTCCCCCTCAGGAGCACTCAGCCTCTAAGATGTAAAGAAACTTTTGCTATTCAATGTCCAAAGTAAAAGATCTTCTGTACCCTGCAGTTCGGGGACAAACCACTGTTGCGGGGTGCTCAGACTCAGCATCGTTCCAAGGAAGCCAACAAGGTCAGATCCTCCAGGGACTGGAAGGAGCGGAACTCTGCTCTTGGTCTGGGACTGGACTGGAGTCTGGGGCACTCCTAATCACAAGCAAGAGCAGTATTTTGGGCAGCTGGAAATACTTAATACTGAACAGTGAGCCGTCTAAAAAACTGTATGCATGTCCTACAGCTGAGCAGGGGTATAGTCTCAGATTTGAGTACAACAGTTCTTTTAAAGACTTTCTGCAAGTAACTATTGAGGTCTGAAGTTATTTTCCAGCATGCTTAGTGTCTATAATAATCAGCTGAAAGTATCTGGAAATGACGGCCTCAGAGTCATACAGACAGTACATTGTAATGATCAGTGTATGTATTAAAAACAACACTTTGAATTACCAAAAATAGCAACAAATCTGCTCATGGAACTAATGAAAATTCACACAAGAAATATACTTACATCTATTCCCCCGAAATACAAAAACCCTAGATGAAGTTGTGGTGAAAATTGAGAAACAGTAACTAAATTCAGCATATATCCTTGCCTATAAAGCAAAAGCAAGCCCATCTGTGTTGATAGGACATCCAAGAACCTGTCTGAACATTTAGGCTAGATGCAAGTATTTGAAGAAACAGTACATGACGTGTTACTGGGTATACACAACTACAAACCTTAAGATCCCTTGAGACCCCAAAGAGTTCACTTCTAAGCAGTAAGTGTGAAGTCTAAATCCTATGGAAGATTGTAGAGAGATAGTTACGAAAAGCAAATACATGATGAACATGAAATGGATAACCATCCTGCTGGTAAAAGCAAGAGAACACTTTATCACTGTGCCGCTGAATATGACATTTTCAGTACACCAACTCTGATCTGGCTTGGTGCCTTCTCCTGTGGAAAAATCATCCCTTCTTCCATTAAACCAGGCAGATTATATTTATCTTCACCTTCTCCCGTGGATGCTTCCTTCAAAAAAAGAAGGTGACAATCACTCAGTGAATGGTGACCATGCATCGCACAGCCAGCCAGGATTGTCGTCATCATTTTACACAAGTGAGTCGACTCCTATCTCGCCAAGACCCAGCTCAGGTCTGAGCTTTTCCAGCCATGTCTTTGCTTTTTGTCTAAATGTCAATTAATGCCATTCAAGACGGCTGGTCTTTGTTCCAGGATAACAAGCATTTTTCTTGCATGTTAATTATTAATTCTGCCTGAACGTGTCGATCTTGGTGTGACTCCCTAGCAGCTGTCCAGCAAGACAAAGCCCAGGTATTTCTAGCACAGTCTTGTGGCTCTATCTCCAACGTTACTCATTAGCAGACTAATGGCACACGGACAGAGCAAGGAGAGCAAACTGAGGTAAAGAGCTGGAATAAGAAAGTGAGGAGAACAGCAATGAAAAAAGAAGAGCTCTAAAGCTATTTGTCAGAAGGCCGCTGGAGTCATGAGCAGTACGGTCTGGGAAGAGGAGACAAGGTGCTTAGGTGGCACCACCTCACCCTGTAGAGCAAGTTGGTACCAGACAAATCCTGATTAAGCGGTTTGTTCACTTCTGAGTATTGCAGTCCCAGTGTAGTTTGATTTAAGTACGGTTGTTGACTCAGACTCAGTTAAGTACATTATGGAGAGTGCTACAGAAGAAAGAAGTCAGAAAATCAGAATTTGAGAGTGAGGGGGAGGAAAATGAACTGAATAGGAGGAAGATCTGAAAACAGAGGTAGTGAGTTCCTTAAAATAGCAGTTCTTGCTTTTGGTGTAAAATACAAAATCTTGAGGAAAAAAAAATGAGATAGAGACTAAACAGATGGTGTGAGGAGGGATTCAAAAGTGAGATGACACACCAGAGCTAGATACGAATAAGTAAATGATGCAGAAGTGGACTTAAGACAGCAGACAATCATCATGGGTTTTTTTCTGAAAAGTCCTTTGCAGTATTTGTAAGCTATAGCAACAGCAAAATATAATATGAAAGCACTTGACTTATTTTCCTCTCTACAAGAAAAGACTTGCTTTGCAGTTAAAGCAGACAAAGTGTGTTTCTGTGTGAAGAGTTTGTAGATGTTAGTAGGTTAAAATATCAATTTATAAATCTTTCATGCCCAACAGTTACATTCATTTGCTTATCTCTATAGCACTTTAAAAAATGTCATACCACAGCTAATTCTGATGAAAAATGAGAATGCTTCTAAACCTTCATTCTTATCTTTTCATCGATCACTATAATATAGAGGTTTTATTCTTCACCTGGGAACTTGCCTTTTTTTCCCTCTAGGTTAAAGCTCTGAATCCAATCCACTTCAGGTCCTACAAACTACATGCTTTGGAGAGTTATGAATTTTTTAGGTTGGCCCTTTCTTATGAGCCATTTGCCACAGAGGGAGTGAGTCAGAGGTCCAGCATTTAGAGTCTGGAGTTGGAGATGAACTTCCTGGCTTGGATCCATCTCAAATTCTCTATTTTCTCCAGGAGTACTTACTTCTTAGCAGAAAGGTGACACATTGTCATGTACATTTCTGTTTTGCCAGATTTACATTATCTGTGTTGTAGCAGTTTCTTCCAATGATGAAAAAGTCAGTCATTAAATTTTTATTTTTTTTTTACAAAATTCTACTTGTAATTATTTACTCCCTGAAAAAGAGAAGCTCAGGAGTCTGAGCAAGGAAAAGCAAAATACCTAGAATATTGCAGGCTGTATGTAGGGAAGCAATCTCCCCTGGTGTAGTAGCAGGAAGCAAGGCTGCTGTGCCAGCCTCCCACCCAAATTGCCTCCCACCTGCACTGTGATCACAGGGTCTGAGGTTTAATCCTTTGTTTACTTCTGCCCCCTGAGGGTTGAAACCTTGAGATAAGGCTGCTTCACATAAATCATCTCAGAATTTCTCTCACTTTCTGTTTTCCACTCAGGTGATGTATATTATAATTTGTGAATAATCTCTAATGCCTGACCTGCAAGTAAACAATTGCTTCGTCCTCTTAAGCACTACTCGGCTCCCTGTTCCCTCAGCTACTAGTGAGATATCCTTCTGCTTTGAGTGCTGCTCCCTGCAAAGGTATAGGGAAATGCAAAAAAGCCTACAGTTCCTCAGGGACAAGCCTGACCTCAGGTCCTTGCTGAGCCAAACGGGCCGGCCTTTCGATGGCATCCAGCCCGCATGTGGAGTCGGAGGGTTTGTCTCGCCATGATCATGCCTCTGCTTGTTCCTCCTCCCACACAAACCAACTGTTTTCAATCTCAGCGTTTTATCCTGGTTTGTAAATAATAGTTGCTTGGGAAGAAATATGTTTGCCTTCCACCTGATGGGAGTCCTTGGTTTCTATAATAGCTAATCTGTTCATAACGGCAAAGAGGGGCTGGAGAATGAAAAGGAAAGGAGGGGTTAGTAATAATTTCTCTCTATCCAGAGTCCCAAGGGCTAAGGCTTTGGGTTGTTTTTTGTCCAATAGTTTGGAAATATTTTCTGTAAGCTGTAAATTAGGCTTAAGTAAAGCTCTTCTTGTGACTTTTTTCCCCCTTTTTTTTCTTCATCAAGGCAACATGGGTTGAGCAAACTCAGATAAATGCCATAGCTAGGGTCCTTGAAACATGACTAGCCCTCCCAGAGTCCTTTCCACGGGCTAGGCTTTCCAGGCTGGCTGTAGGGTGGGTAACTAGCAGGGAGTAATTGCTTTTGGATGAAAATCATAGTAATTGCTGCTGTTAAAAGACACTGTTGTTTCCTTCTGTAGTATTTTCTGTAGGACCCAAAAAACTGGGGGGGGGAGGCTTAATAATGAGGCAAAGGAATTGGTGTCTTTATAGGCTTGTTTGTTATAATGCCCGTGTCTGCGTAATGTAAATGCAAATAAACCCATCTTTATTTTTTTAATAGTTCTAATGGAAAGTCTGTGTCATGGTCTGAACCAGGTGGAAGACAAGCTCCCAAGGGGGAACACACATGGCACAGACTCTCAGTGCATGTGAAGAGCCAGGAGACAGGGTGCAATCAGACAGCGGTGATCAAACCCCTCACTAAAAGCTACCACAGCCAAAGCAAGAGCCTGACTTCTACTGACATCAGCAGTAAGACTCTGTACAATGTGGTGGAAGAAGACAGAGAGCCCGTTCGTCTCAACCAGCCCAGCAGCCCCTCCATGGTGGTGCACAGGCGGGTGGCGACGACCCCTCCGCTGCAGGCCACAGCAGAAGAGACACAGCTCTTCTTGCCTGAGCAGCCCCCCAAGACCCTGCCCCTGCAGCCACAGTCTCTCATGGACCAGCTGCAAGGAGTGGTCAACAAATTTGCTGCCGACTTCAGCACCGTCCTCCCTGGCCCTGGCTCGGGGCACAGTGCGCGACCCCCCTGCCAGGCCTCCCCGCTGCAGCAGCCACCCCGGCCGCCTCTCCAGGTGGCTGCCTTCAGTGAGGAGCCCCTCTCTCCCCCGGCTGAGGAAGTGGAGAGTGAGAAGCTGAAGCTTATTCAGGGATATGTCTATGAGAAGAACCCAGAGGAGGAGGAGGAGGAGGAGGAGCCGGCGACCAGCAAACTGACTCTGGAAGACTCTCCGGCGCTGACACCCCCATCCCCTTTTCGGGATTCGGTGGCCTCGGGCAGCTCCGCGCCCAGCTCCCCCGTCTCCGAGTCAGTGCTCTGCACCCCCCCAGATGTGACCTATGCCTCTGTCATCCTGAGAGATTATAAACAAAGCTCATCTACTCTGTAGGCACTGCAAGAGATGAGGCGAGACGAGAAGGACTTTGGCAGCTGCCTGCTGGGAAGTCCTGGGGAGACAAGTCTCCCAGGGTTGGGAGGACAGATAGTGGAGAACAAAGTCACATATGACAGAGCAAAAACTTCATCCTGCACTTAAGTAAATAAAAGGGAAGAAAAAGAAAAAAAAAAAAGCAACAACAACAACAAAAAAATTCTGAGGGCTCAAAATTCTTTAGCTGTTAAAAATAAAAATACTGTACTTTGAGAAAATATAGGAAAACATAACAAAGCACAAACCGAAGGGACAACTTCCATAGCAAAAAAACCTAATAAACACACAGGAAAAAAAATAAATAAATCACACTTAGTCACACCCTTTCTCGGCAATGCTTGAAAAGGACTCTGGGAAGTGTGACCTGGAGAAGTTATTAGCACATCTCATGACTGCTGTCTGTCTGCTATGGAGGCCACACACCCAGGAGCTGGAAGGGCACAGTGTGGAGAGGAGAAATGAAGCTCCTTGTATGTGAGACATATATGCATAAATACTTTTTTCCTGGTTTTTGTAGGCAGTATAACTGTGCAATGTTTGGGGGAGAGGAGAAGAGATAATGTGAAAGCACGTGGCTCTTGGAGACTTTTGTCTGAACAATTTGTTCTTCATACTAGGCTGCTTTTTGGGGGATCTGGGCTTTTTTTAACACTGATTGTGAACAGAGTGAGAAACATGACCAAGTTAAGGCTCAAGAGGTTTCTGAAGAAAACCCTTGCTGTAGTACTTGTAATATGGTAAGGACTTAGAAAACTGCCCTTTTGTATAAGATTGCAAACCATGTGGCTAAACTGTTAATACAACATTTCCTGTAGCGGAACAATATTTATTGACTAACTTTTCATAACACAACATATTTCCCATGTGATTACATCATTCCTTTGTGTTACTTTGGAAACAAATACATTGGAAAATAGCTATATACTTAGAGCAACAACTATTACTCTGAAAGAAAGGCAGTTCTACACTGGGGGTTATAGATTCAGTCTCAAAACAAGAGAGTGAGCGTACGTTTGTGTTTCTGTATGCGTGTGTACGGTATGTTTGAAGCGTAATGTCCAATAACTAACACTGGAAGATTGTCATATATACTATGAAAATTTTTATGTTTAAATCGTTTTATATTGCATTATGACAAATATTCAGTAGATCTTTGGATGTTTGTATGCTCTGCTAACACTTTTTTCATATACAAGCTGAGACAGTTGTTTACCCGTATAATAGGGTGCTTTATTTTGCAGATATTTTATGAAGTAGACATATGGTATTAATAACCAGTGCATTGAAAACTTGTTATTTTACATGTTTGCAGTAAGTGTGGCTACAATAAAAAAAAAAAGAAAATGCAGAAAGAAAAAATTCTCTTTTAGAAATCTTGCACATGTCAGTATAAAGATGAGACAGGAAAATTAATTAAACTATTTTGCTGCTTTGGATAATTTAAAATAAAATCATGTCTGGACAGGAAATTTCATCAGTGCTTAATGTGTGCATAAATTCCCAGGGTTTGTTATAAATAGTTCTTCTAATCTCTTTACGATGTTTAGTAGTGTTCCTTTCATACCCTTTCACTTCTGTTTAACATAAAATATGGTATCTTATATATCACTTCTAGGCCTCCTCCTCTATCCTGCATATGTTTCCTAAAGATGGGCCTAATCCAAAGCTCCCTAATGGCTGGTATGTTCAAAGCCCAGGTCTAATTGCCATGACTCTAAGTTAATTATACTTATTATTACCCTATTTAGAAATGTGCATATTATACATGAGCAGGATAGGATTTTAGCTGCTATGAACTTTTAATGTGCTGTTAAATTTAGCTGAGGATCTGTCCCACAAGTCTACACATTATTTCCAAAGATAGTTTTAAGGAATCTCCTCATGTTAATATAGTTGCAAAACCTGATTTTAACCATGCTTCTTGAGAATATTCTACCAGGGGTTTTCTGAATTCAGCATATTTCTACTCTTTTTCTTTCTTTTCACTCAAGTTTTAAGAAGTCCTGCTGCCAGTCATCAATTCACTGAATATCCAAATCTCATTGTTTTTCTCTAATTATATGCTAGTGGTATTGGAAAGTTTGGACGGTGCTCAAAACCAGATAGAGCCTTTTTCCCTCATCCTCTTTTCACAATGTTTGCTCCCTTCAGTATGACTAGTGGCCAGTTGTTATCATTGTCCTGATGTGGAAAGCATAAAATGACTTAAGGACATGGCTATGTCTTTGTCAGTAGATTGATGTCTCTGTAATGAACTAAAGACATCTGAGGGTCAGTTGGTTGATTTATGTCTGCTTGGGCTTTTAGGGGGATTTTTTTTTTTAATGCTGATTACTCCTTAAAGCAATGAGAAAAATGCCAAATTTTCTTTCTTAATTACCCCACTGGCAGTGAATTATATCTACTTATAATCTTAGTATAAGATTTGTTGTGCTGTTTCCAGAAACATACATTGTCAGTAGCACATAGTTAGTGCTAGTGAGACAATCTTTGAAGAAACAAGATAAACACGAAAAAGAGACAGGCTCATATAGATGGGAGATGGCAATGTGGCAAGGTACTATTGTTTTCATATCTGTCTGTTCTGAACATATTAAGCACTGATTTTATTATTGCAATGTAATTATGAGTAGGAGTTTTCTTGAAATTCAGTATATTAGCTTTTAGTTTGTAATTGTTAAAACTGGAAACATACACATACGTAAATGTATCTAAAGAGCAAGAACTCACCTTGTGTATGTAGTTGTATGAGCTATAAAGCTTCCTGTAAAAGTTCTTTCTTTTGGTCTGTCAAATGCTTGATGAAAACTGCCTTTTTGTCAACATGATCTTGAAAATGCTGTAAAATAAATATTTTCTATTTATTATTTAAAAATAGGATGCCAAGATTGTTAATTTTTGCTTCCTAAATAGAAAATAGCCATGTCTAGTTCCAGGGCTTTTCAGCATGGTGCAAGAGAGATGGTGGGATGCTCAAACGGAGGTAGGTATTGGTTAGATTGTGGCATGTAGGTGAGATGGTGGAGGGTTGGAAGATTTTTGTTTATAGAACAAAACTCAGCTTTTTGGCTTCCTAATAAAAATCAGGAGGTATGCATTTGGGATGACATTTTGTAGAAGAGAATTCAGAGGGAAATGACAGGAAATTTTGCTCCCCAAGGACATAGTAAAACACAAGCCCTTCACTGGAAGTATTCCACATGTTTGACTCTGTGAGGTGTCATCTTCTACCATCAGGGAAACTCAAATACACTTAGTTGACAACTCCAAGCAATAGGCCTTGTCCACCCCAGACATCTTGCACCTCCTTCCGTTAGTGCCTCTGCACAGAGCAAAGTGCTGAGACTCTTGACTCCTGCTCTGTGACCCACATGTGGTGGCTTTCTGGTGACTCCTGAACTGCTGGGTGCCTCAGCTCGAGGCTCAGTAAGATAGGTGCATAAATGCTTTTTCTGGAGCACTAGTGAGATTTTCCAAGCCAAGTGGCACTAAACAAAAAAAAAATCTAGCTCTTTTTCTCTTTACGTTGCAAACAGTCTTGTTTCTAGTGGCTCCTTGGTTTGGATCTGGCTTTGCAGGACCCCACATCTGAAGAGTCAGCCACCTACAGGCACTGCACGGCTGGAGTACAGAGAATGACTACGCTTGGTGGTAAGTGCCAAAAGTTTAGTCTCTTGTAGAGGTTTTCAGAGAGGGGAGGAGGGGGTGCTCGTTTTTTATTTATTTTTCAGTTAAAGTCTAGGCAATCTATGTCATAGTAAAAGTTCTGCAGATTAAATGGACTGAGTTATAAAAACGCCCTCAGGGTACCACAGGAGTTAATCCCTTCCAGACAGTTGCTGTCAGACCCATTTTTGCAACCAGTTACTGTTTGTAACCCAGCCCAGAGCATTGCATCCTGAGCCCACTGCACTCCTGAGCATGTGGCATTTCAGGATACACTGTACAAAGAACATGAAAGTATGATGGTAGCATCTGTGTATCATCTAAGAAATATTCCACCAATTGTTATCTGCTCTCTGACTAGCTACACACATGCTGTGCAAATGAATTAATTTTCGAATTGCAGTATTCTCATAAGAGGTTAGTACTAATTGTTTTATGTATGACTTTCCACACAGTCTGACTAGCATAATGAGCCCAGAAATTCTTACTTTCTTTTTGATGCAGTTTCAATTTTTGTATTGCTGTGCTTTGAGCTTCCAACATGAGTGAGGATCATTTCAGTTTAAGTCATTCTAGACCACATAAATGTTTCACTTAATATTCTTTTTTTTTTTAATTTCTCCACACAAACATACAACAATATGAACATTACCAGAAAGAGCAGATTGGACAAAATCTATATAAACAGACTCCGGGAGATATGAGCAAACAACAGTTGGTGGAAGTGCTAAAGGAAAATATGTAGAAGGCCAGATGCTCCAGCCTGTTAAAGCTGCTTTATTAGTCTCTAGATTTCCAGACCAGTTCTTAATGTGCTTTAGTCTGACAAAGGGAAAGTCTAATCTGGTGCTGCAGAGTCTTTAGAGTCCTTTGGCTCCAGCCTCAAGAGCAAATAATGTGAGAGGTGGCAAAGGAACAGTTATATGCCTTCAGCTGCACTTTTCTTAATCTAACCTAAGAAAAGGCAGAACAAAACCCAAGACCAAGGAGACACAAGTATGAAAGCTTTAAATTAGAAATAAGCAAATCTGAATTTTCAAGATAATTGAGTACTGCAGCAGATGGTTGGGAGGTTTAAGCATAGTTTCTTTAAGTCTTCAAACCAGTGAAGAATTCACAGTGTAGAATTTCTAGGCTTCTGCTATGCAGGGGTTCAGATTAAATGGTCATAATATTCACAGACTGCCAAAAAGGCCCATCTAAAATGGCTTTACACTAAGTAAACAGATGACTGGTCAAGGACTACAGAGCAGCAAAGCAGCTTATCATGCCTGAGATTTAGTCTTCAGGCT